GCAAGCGTGCGGCCGGAGGGACCGTGGTCCTGAGCCTGCAGGCGGCTCCTCCGCGGCCCCTGCGCGGGTGCGCTGGATGTGGCCGCCTGGGCTGGCCTAAAGTGGTTTTTTGTGGCAAGAAGTGCGTTTCCCCACGTCTTAGGGAAGCAGTTCAGCTTGTTGCCCCGGGCTAAGCGTGCAGGACCAGTGTTAGCGTGCTCTTTTGTTTCCCTTTTAAACCACCTGTGGGCTTGTTCTGCCTGTTCAGAATTAAAAGAATTAAATCACCCCGTAATTTAATTTTTCCTCGTCCTTTTACATTTTTCTTCCGGCTAGTAAACCTTTTCCTTAAATCTATTGCTCTGCGCTTTGCATATCTCGCTTCCTTCCCTGCTGTTAAGCTAATTTAATTCCCCCTAATGAGAGTCTTTAAAGTGTCCCACAATAACTTGTCAGGAAGCCCTGGCAGGTCTCCTTGTAGAAATTTCTGCTCGTTTTTGTTATTTCTGGTGAAATGGCGCAACGCCGCTCGTGGTGACGGTTCATTTTGGGTTGCTGGGGGTCACTGTGCCCTGCACGCCCCTGTACGCAGGCAGTGAGCTGACTGTTGCAGCGTCGCCTCTGCGACCGCCTCGAGCTCGGTGCTAGAGAAATGAAGAGCGCCGGCGTGTGACCGCTGGTGTGGGGCCGCAGCGGGAGCCCGCGAGACAGCACCCAGCGTGTGCCAGGGGACTGGCTCTTGAGGGCTTTTCCCTGGTACCGTCATTGCTGTTTTGCTTTCCTAGGGATGATTAACCCCCCCAAAGCATTAAAGTTACGACCATTGCTGCAAAGGGCTGCAGAAGCCTTCCGGACGCTGCGCGTGCTGGCGAGCCGGCTGGAGCTGGGTGCAGCCGGGCACCCTGAGCGCAAGTGCTGAGGTTATTACGAATAAAGCTCCGGTGCTCAGCGCTGTTGCAGAGCAATCGCCATAGAAAGCAACACGGTCTGACCTGTGTTTCACGCTCCGACGCGGATACCGTGCGCTTTTCCCGACTCCACCAGAGGTGCACACAGGAATGGAGGGGGCCGGGCCGGCTGGCACCTGCTCCCCGGCTCAGCGGCCCCCTCTCGCGAAACAAGGCTCTCACCGGGGGCTGGCTTGGCCTGCCTGCCCTGGCACCGCTGCTCGAATCCTCTGCCGGAGACTGAGCTGCAAAGCCAAACCAATTTACAGCTCCCCCATCCCAAGAGCCTGTATATTTAGAATAGCTAATCGATTAGGGCAACCACCAGCAGCTCCCAGCGGAAGCGTGGGCATGAAAAGGGGCCACGTTCGTCTTGTAAATAAGATGTTGTCAGGTACTGGCTCAGCCTGGATTTCAAAGGGGCCAAGCGGATGTGATAGCCCTTCCTCGGGCTGAGATGATGCAAGTGCTCTTTCTTCCCCTCCCTCCCTCCCCCTTCCCTTCGCTCCTGCTCGGAAGCAGCCAGCAGGTTCGTAGCATTTTGTGACCTTTCCATCAAACTGCTCGTCTCCAGCTGCGGCTGGAAAAGTGTAGGTGAGATGCTGAGGCTGCTCCGAGGCTGAGGTGGGAGCTTATCCTTCCTCCTGCCTGCTGAATGCCAGGTGCTGGCCACAGTGCCGGCAGAGCCTGGAGAAACAGCAGCGAGATGCCAAACCTACCTCTGAAACTGCAGTGGGGGGAGCACCGCGGGAGAGACGGCATGTTGCTTCCCATGGTGTCAGCGCAGATGGGGCAGATGTAGCTGGCTGGGTGAGGGGTGAAACTCAGGGGGATCAGCAATACATGCAATTCAGGCAGTGAAGCTCATTCCAGGTTTTCCAGCGAGCAAAGCCCTTCAGATGCTTGTTAACAGAGGATCACTCTGCCTGTGATATTTCTGGTTGGTGTGCAAGAATTACTGATTTCAGTGCAATCCTGGTCCTGTTGAAGGGGATTTCTTGGGCATTGTTCCCTGATTGTCTCTGGGAATGGCGAACCCAAGGTATGCAGGACCTGTTTCCTATAGGAAGCTCTCCTCTGTCAAGTCATCTCTGGAAACCCACTGGGGAATGGTTTAGCAACTAGTTCAAATATCATCTGAACTTCCCTTGAGCTGTTCCAGCGTCGGTGACTTCTCTGCACCTCTACAGCTTCTTTCCCACCAAAACTGGCTCGAGAGTTGTAGGACCACGGCTTTGCATTGCCAGCATGGCAACAACAGGCTTTCCCCAGACCTGGGAGATCCAGGCGGGCAAAGATGTGGTGTCACTGGCTGCTCTTCTTTTTCGCATGCTGTAGCGGGACAGGGAGTGCTCTGAACTGCTCAGAGACCTGATCTCTCTCTGGGAGAAAGCAGGAGCAGGACAAGGTATAACTCAAGGCATCTCCCAGAGCTGCAGCCAGAATCTGGCCCATAGAAACTTCCCTAAGAGGTTGTCTAAAATCTCCTAGCTGAGATCCATCAGCTGTGCTGTGCTTATTGATGAACATGGTTGACAGCTTCTCCTCTGACACAGTGCTGTTGTACTCCTGGGTCTGATTAGTCATTGCTTGTCCACAATAAACCCATCCATCTCGCTTACTCTTTGCTCAGCAATCTTCTTTCCCAGGCATTACGTTTTGCAAAAGGCATGTGATTCTCCTTGACAGTGCAAAGTTCTAGCTGTACCCTCGTGGTTCCAAAGGAATCTTGATAGCGGCAATTAAGAGCTTGTGGGGAGGAGGCAAAAACTTTTTCCAGTTTTACAAGGCTGTGATCGGTCTGACTGCAAGGGAATAGCAGTGTCATTTTTCTCCTGTATCCCAGGTGTAGGGATGGAAGTGAAAAAGTCAAAATTGCTTTAAATGGGTCCATGTGAGTATCGTGGACTCCTCTGGTTCCACTAACCTCTATGCTATAAGCTCAGGATTATCAGTAGATAGTTCTCATATCATCTTTGCTTCAGTGAAAAAGGAAGGAGGCTGTTTCTGCAGGGAAAGTCTGCACAGCAAAGAGTTTGCACCAGGGAAATGATGCAAGAAGGACCGGCAAATATGGCAGCAGATTGTGTGCAGTCCTCCTGTTGGCGCTGTCATGCTTGCTCGTATCCAGGCCAAAGCCTACATTAGTTACAAAAGTCACAGGAGGGCCATGTCCGTAAAAAGGGCAAGTCTTGTGATTCCTCGTGCAAGCTTCCTCGTGGGAAGACTGCTGCAGAACGGAGGTGTCACTCATCTCTGCAAGGTCCTGTCATCTCATTATAGATTGAGGGTTTAGCACCATGTGGTAGAAACTGTGCTTTGGATGTCACGGATGAGCCAAGAATTAAGATGAATATAGAACATGTCAGAGCCCAAGAGAAATTTCTGCAGTATTTTCACAATTTCAAATAATAGGGAAATCTGTAAAACTCTGGGTAGATCATGGATAGAATAACAGGCTAAATTTGTTAGATGAATAATTTACTAGAAGTAATTGGCCCCAGTCCAAGAGAGACAGGAGCAAGTCTGGTCTCAGGCTGAGCAGCCTGATGGTTGTCCCTGGCTGGGAGCCGTTCCCTCTCCTGCCACACACTATCATTGCTCCTACACTAAAAGCTGGCTCTTTAGACATGGTGTCTGCCCTCAGGTCACTGTTTCCCATGGCTGCAGGACTTTCTGTAAAGCTCAAGGTCCCCTCAAAGACCAAATAAAGCCCTCAAGTGGGCATTTGTGTTTTCGTTTCAAAGTGCTCCTTTGCTGAGCCAAGCTGGTGAGGTTCACTGGATGTCTGTGGACATAAGCTGGCTCCAGGCTTACAGACCGATCCAGCCTCTTTCTATTCTCCAGGCGGGTCTCTGTCTCTCGGCCTCAGTACCTCCAGCCTCCTCAGTCCAAGTGAATGGAGGAACAGAGACATCTTGACATTGGGGATGGGAAGGGAGATGAGTGCATGTGAAGTCCCAGCGCTGGGAGGAGACGGCAGCAGGCGGCTGTAGCAGTAGCGGCAGGCAATTAACATGATCATGTTTATGAATCTGGATCAGTAATTCCAGGTAAACTCCCCGAGAGCGCTAACACAGGCTAACAATGCCTCCTGCCTGCCCAGGGAGCCAAGCCGTGGGCAGAGGGCTCCAATAACGCCAGTACATTCCTGTCCTATTACCGCGAAGTTGGAATGTTGCCTATGGAGCGTGCATGGTGCCGTGCCGGTTGCACTGATCGCTGTTCAGCTCTGGCTTCACTTTGCCACGCTAGACAGGGCCTGGCAGCACCCCTCACTCAGCCACTCTGCCCACGCCAGGAAAGGGTGGGCCACCTCCTGGAGCTGATGGGCAGATATGCCATGCAGGTGGGGCTGGAGGAACCATGCCTTTGGAGGGGGGCAGATAGCCCTTCAAGAGAATGATGTTTTTTCACTCTGGTTTCTTTCCACTGTTAGTGTTCGTACCAGGATCTTAGATGCATCACCAGCATTAGCCACATCAGCTCCTTACAG